CACAACCCACAGTAAAACCCTGTTAACTGGTGTACACAACCCACAGTAAAACCTCGTTAACTGTTGACTGAAGACAGCAACACACTGAGGACAGAGGGATGGACAGAAAGATAGTCGGAGCGTAAACCTATCGCTCCCTCTGGTGGTACTTGTTGGGTATACATTAAGATTAGTTTACAGATATATCCTTTTGAATTTACTAGATTCCTTCATGTCCTTTTAATTTGGTAGTGACAGCACTATGATTGAATACACTGTACAGCTCCTAATGCCTCCAAACAAGGGACCCCCTTTTCTAGCCAGTACAATACTGCTTGAAATGGAAATAAAATAACTCCCAAGTTTGGAGCAATACCAGAATGTTTGAAAAGCTGAGTTGGTGAATGATGAGAATGCTAGAGATGTGATACTAGCCTTATTTCCTCGTGGAGTTGACCTTCCTGTCCCGTCCAGGTCCGGAGAACTAGAACGCACTGTTGGCCATCTTACTGTGTTAAGGATGGTACTGTTGCTGCAATCTAACCTGGACTGCTATTGGTGCCTAGGACCACTCACAACATTAACACCGAAAAGGTTCATATCTTCATAATGAAATAACAAATGGCCTAGAGGGCCTGTGTTGCTCTCCTGGATAATTAACTAATCATGGCAAAATATTCTCATTAAATATCATACTACAAATATCATACTACAAAATACTACAAATATCATACTACAAACATCATACTACAAAATACTACAAATATCATACTACAAATATCATACAAATATCATACTACAAATATCATACTACAAATATTTCCAAATATTGTATCTGTCCCTCATCAACACCCATACATTATTGGGTCCCATCCCTCGGTCCCTAGGGACAACACCCATACATTATGAGGTCCCACCCCTCTGTCCCTAGGGACAACACCCATACATTATTGAGTCCCATCCCTCTGTCCGTAGGGACAACACCCATACATTATTGGGTCCCATCTCTCTGTCCCTAGGGACAACACCCATACATTATTGGGTCCCATCCCTCGGTCCCTAGGGACAGCACCCATACATTATGAGGTCCCATCCCTCTGCCCCTAGGGACAACACCCATACACTATTGGGTCCCATCCCGCGGTCCCTAGGGACAACACCCATACATTATGAGGTCCTATCCCTCTGTCCCTAGGGACAACACCCATACACTATTGGGTCCCATCCCTCGGTCCCTAGGGACAACACCCATACATTATGAGGTCCCATCCCTCTGTCCCTAGGGACAACACCCATACACTATTGGGTCCCATCCCTCGGTCCCTAGGGACAACACCCATACATTATTGGGTCCCATCCCTCGGTCCCTAGGGACAACACCCGTACATTATGAGGTCCCATCCCTCTGTCCCTAGGGACAACACCAATACATTATTGGGTCCCATCCCTCTGTCCCTAGGGACAACCCCCATACATTATTGGGTCCCATCCCTCTGTCCATACGGACAACACCCATACATTATTGGGTCCCATCCCTCGGTCCCTAGGGACAACACCCGTACATTATGAGGTCCCATCCCTCTGTCCCTAGGGGCAACACCCATACATTATTGGGTCCCATCCCTCTGTACCTAGGGACAACACCCATACATTATTGGGTCCCATCCCTCGGTCCCTAGGGACAGCACCCATACATTATGAGGTCCCATCCCTCTGCCCCTAGGGACAACACCCATACACTATTGGGTCCCATCCCGCGGTCCCTAGGGACAACACCCATACATTATGAGGTCCAATCCCTCTGTCCCTAGGGACAACACCCATACATTATGGGGTCCCATCCCTCTGTCCCTAGGGACAACACCAATACATTATTGGGTCCCATCCCTCTGTCCCTAGGGGCAACACCCATACATTATTGGGTCCCATCCCTCTGTACCTAGGGACAACACCCATACATTATTGGGTCCCATCCCTCTGTCCCTATCGGGGTGGGGGCATGGTTATTCAACACTGAATCCCATTGGGCTAAGTATACTCAATATCAAATTTGATTTAGATCCCTTCTTCTGTATGGAACAAGAAGTATTTTAAGATTTATCTCTATTTAGCTTTCTGGGCCCCGCCATCTGCTCCCAGGGGAATCACACCCACAAATGAAATTTGGGCCTTGATTTGTCTAATCTGAATTTGGTTAAAATCTCTACATTCTTAAAGTAAAAATATTAAAAGACTATTTCCCCTCTAGGGCCCCACCCCACTTCCATCTGGGGACCACGACATCTGTATATAATACAAAATTGAGTCCCTTTTAAACAAGAATGCTCTGCACCAAATTTGGTTAAAATCCCTCCACTAATACAGAAGAAGGATTTTAGTTATTTTTCTCTATGTTCCCAATATCGAGCCTCGCTACTCTGCCTCCAAGGCAGCCACACCCTCTGTTGATTTCTCTTTAATCTAGAATACTTTATAACATAAAAGATTGTGCCCAATTTCCCCTAGGATGCTGAACAAATTATTTTAAAATCCCCAAATCATACAGAAGAAGAAAATTTAAATGATTTACTTCAATTTCCCCAATTGGGCCCCGCCCACTCTGCCCCAAGGTTAAAGGATGTTCTACATAAAATTTGTTTAAAATCCCACCTATCATACCAAAGGAGAAGTATTTTTAACATTTATTACTATGTTCTCCTTATTGAACCCTTTCCCTCTTCCCCCAGGGGGTCCACACTCTCTGATTATACAAAATTGGATTCCCCTTGCCTAAGGATGCTCTGGACCCAATTTGGTAAAATTCCTTCAAATAGACTAAAGGAAAAGGATTTTAAAGATTTACCTCAGATGCCGGGCAACCGCATAAGGCAGGTGAGGTATAAAATTGACTAAAATGATTGTTCAATGTACAAATTTCAAGTATTATTTCAAAAAACCTGTAACAGTACATAGTTAATGAATTACAGAAACTGAAGTGTACAGACCAATGAGGTTCTACATTATACAGAAACCAAAGTGTACAGACCAATGAGGTTCTACATTATACAGAAACC